TTCTGAAGATGGGTCCAGACCCGAAACGTCAGCTTTCCTGCTCCTCTGATGCTGCTTGGCCTGCTGTGTTCATCCAGCTCTATACCTTGTTATCTCAGATTCTCCAGCATCGGCAGTTCCCATTATCCCTGTTTGTAATTTGATGCTTTAAAAAATCCCTAGCATTACATTTTGTTTACTTAAATGAAGCTCCATATCCAGAATTTTACAAGGTACAGGACATGGGCTAGAAATCTAGGGGTTGCAGGGGGCATGAGTTGAAAAATTGGATAGGAAGGCATGGAATACAGGGTCATCTTACCATTGTCACTGGCATTTGACTAATGAATAACCCTTCAGGCCAAATAGGAGCAAGGACTACACCATGGCAGAACCTCCCCATCCCACTCCCGCATTCCCCACTTCCCCTTAGCCTGAGCCTGCCTAACTGACCTTAGTGGGCCAGAACCCACTTACTATGGCTCCAGACTGGTGACCATGCCACAGCTCCAGAACAGGTGCATTTCCAGCTGTGACCACCACTCTTGATGGCGCTGCTGGAGTGGTAGAGCTGCTGGCCCTCATTGCCTGATGGATCAAAAATCCAGTTGGGGCTCACAGAAGCACCTGAAGTTGCATTGCTACAACCACAGAAAATCCAGGCCTGCAACTGTGAACTAATTTTTTTAAGGCCAGAGATATTGTCCAAAAGTAATTGTTATTTAATAAGCTATTCATACTAATACAGTCCTGAATGCCCTTGCTTGTGCACCTCATGGAGGGGTTGATCACATTTACTAAGCTACACTATGTGGAGTGGGGAACCCTGATGCCTTCCCATCTCTGCCCTGATTAAGTCCAGTGCGGAAGGCTCCTGGACGGCCTTCCTACCCTGCTATTAATTGGGCATATAATTCCTAATAAAGACCTTCGGTCCACTGCTGCTGACTTTCAAACAATGGCAGGTGGAGCACTTGCTACGTGAGCAAATGCTGTTGAGTTTGTTTTCAGGATTCCCGTGTACGTCCCCTTGTCAGTACCCTATCAAATAATGAATCATCAGGAAAGGGCAGCAGTTGTGTAGTGGTTATGTCACAGAACTAGTAATCCAGCACCTCAGGTTAATGTTCTGAGAAAGTGGGATTGAATCTTACCATGGCAAATGATGAAATTTGAGTTCATTAAAAATAAATGGTGACTGTGTAACTACGGTTGATTGTCATAAAAATCCATCTGGTTCATTAATGTCCTTTAGGGAAGGAAACTGCCTTCCTTACCTGGTCTGGCTTACATGTAACTCCAGACCCACAGCAATGTGATTGACTCATAACTGCCCTCTGGGCAATTAACAATGGGTGATAAGTGCTAGCCTAGCCAGCAGCACCCACATCCTGTCAATGAAATTTTTAAAAATCGGGGTGCAGGGGGTGAGCTGCAGGCCATTTGTCAATTTCCCTGCCTCCCCACCCCACTCCAGCAAGAGAATCCCCACCCCGTTACCCCATTTCCTCTCTTTTACTTATGGACTGGGTCCCTCACTAAGTTTAAGCCTCTGTGGAAGGACTGCCAGCAGCTACCACTGCTTCCCCAGTGTTGCTGCTTGCACAAAGAGATGCTATCCTCTGAGGGTTTCCAAAGTGGATCCCTAGCCAGGAAAGGCCAGTCAGTCACTGGCCAGCTAAGTGCCTGACTGACTCTTAACATGGGATGAGTCATTTCTGAAGAAAACAGTACAAGATTCTTACAAGCTCTCCAGCTGCAGGGTGGGACTCCTGGCAGCTAGATTAAATTCCACCCTTTATTTGCTTAAAATATTATGTAAATATTTAAATAGGAATTTGCCTTGGGAATACACCAAGAATACAAGCAATGCTGAGAAAGGTTGCTTTTCATCTAAAATGGGAATTATGGTTTGGAAATATAAAATTGTCTCGGGAAGTGAATGGCTCAGAAGAATAGGAATAGGCTTTATTATATATTCATTGAATCTTCTGATTCTAGATAAAGCTGCAGGTTGCATTATCTTTTCAAATGGACCCTGTCCTTGAAAATATTACTGCTGTACAACTGTAAAATGCAATATTCCAATTGTGTATTCTGCATATTGTTTTGATCTGTAGCAGTTTTTACTGCATGTTATAATGCTGACAACACCATGGCTTTAAAAGTATACATTTTAAAATGCTATTTTTGGCCAGTTGTCTGATTGAAGTATAGAGTTGACAGTTTACATGACTGAGAAATCTGTCAGTGGAATTATTTTTTTCAACATAGAGAGTATATATTCTCTTAAGGAGGCATACACCACATAAATAAGTTTGAAGAGCAAATGTGCAAGACTTAGGGCTGAATTTTAATTTTCAGACCCATTCACCCACATGGTGAGCATCTAATCATTTCAGTCCAATACATGACCAAACATGAAGACGATCTGCAGCAATCTCCTATAGCTCCAACATTTAGAGGGACCCTGTTTGGAGCTGGGGACTAAGTGTGGTGTGTCAAAATTTGCAGATGATACTAAGGTGCGTAGTAGAGCAAAGTGTGCAGAAGACAATGAAAGTCTACAGAGGAATATAGATAGTCTAAGTGAGTGGGCAAAGGTCTGGCAGATGGAGTACAATGTTGATAAGTGTGAGTTCATCCATTTTGGTAGGAATAACAGCAAAATGGACAATGTTTTAAATGGTAAAAAATTGCAGCACGCTGCTGTGCAGAGGGACTTGGGTGTCCTTGTGCATGAATCGCTAAAAGTAGGATTGCAGGTGCAGCAGGTAATTAAAAAGGCAAATGGAATTTTGGTCTGCCATTGCTCGAGGGATGGAGTTTAAAAACAGGGAGGCTATGCTGCAGCTGTATCGGGTCCTGGTGAGGCCACACCTGGAGTACTGTGTGCAGTTTTGGTCTCCTTATTTGAGAAGAGGTATACTAGCACTGGAGGGGGTGCAGAGGAGATTCACTCGGTTGATTCCAGAGTTGAGAGGGTTGGATTATGAGGAGAGACTGAGTAGACTGGGATTAAACTCATTGGAATTCAGAGGAATGAGGGGAGATCTTATAGAAACATATAAGATTATGAAGGGAATAGATAAGGTGGAGGTAGGGAGGTTGTTTCCGTTAGCAGGTGAAACTTACTCTAGAGGGCATCGCCTCAAAATAAAGGGAAGCAGATGTAGGACTGAGGTCAGGAGGAACTTCTTCACCCAAAGGGTTGTGAATCTGTGGAATTCCCTGCCCAGTGAAGCAGTTGATGCTACCTTGCTGAATGTTTTTAAGGCAAGGCTAGATAAATTTTTGAACAGTAAAGGAATTAAGGGTTATGGTGAGTGGGCAGGTAAGTGGAGCTGAGTCTCAAAAAGATCAGCCATGATCTTATTAAATGGCGGGGCAGGCTCGAGGGGCCAGATGGCCTACTCCTGCTCCTAGTTCTTATGTTCTTATGTTCTGTCATAAAACATCACAGAAATGTTTTGACAGAGCCAGAATCTGCATAGCACCAGGTTCAGTGTGGTGGGGCTGCATCATATTTCAGATCTGCATCCCTGGTGATAATGATGTGGGCTTTAAAATTCAACAGGGACGTTGTGTTCCCCTGAAAAAGAGGAAGCAGGATGCCTCAGAAAAGAGTTCAGCATGGCTGTAAGTGGAAGAGGAGGTTAGCAGAAGGAATACAGTACTTCTGTCCTGAAGAACAAACTACAAAGGTTCATCTCAGGGCCCCTCACTTACTCTCTTATGCCTACCTCAATGCTCACAGCACCTCCATCTGCCTTGCCTTTTTTATGCTTTGCCACTTCAGCTAAAGCCTAAAGGCTTAAAGTACTTCGGTTCTGCAGAAGGGTCACTAGACCTGAAACGTTAACTCTGTTTTCTCTTCACAGATGCTGCCAGACCTGCTGAGATTTTCTGGCAATTTCTGTTTTTGTTCTCAAAGTACTTGGTCTTGCCTTGCTGCTCAATGCAGACACAAAGCCAGGCAGCTTCTTGTGGTTGTCAGTAGTTATCAGTCAATGATGTGCACATTTTGCAGTATGGCACAACGTGATGCCAATCTGACAGCTGCAGTATTTGGCAAACATATTGCGTGTGCATCAACTGATTGGCCATATCTGAAAGCCCTCAGTCAAGAAATATCTTTCAGTCAGAGGACCTGACACAGTAGGTCAAGGGCAGCCTCCGATATCTGCCCAGGAATTATTGTTACTCATTCATGGGATGTGGGTTTCACTGGCTAGGCCAGCATTTATTCTCCATCCTGATTGCCCAGAGGTCTGTTAAAAGTCAACTACATTGGAGCTGGAGAGATAGGCCTCCAAACGATTTGATTATCAATTAAGTATAACACAGCCACATGGCAGACAACATGGACTAAAATTTTCTTCAGGTCAGCTGCCACTGAAATATGATGATCTGCCCAAAGATGAGTTATAACTCTCTCACTTGTCAGGTTGATATACACCTTTCATCTCACCTGGACCTTTCAAGTGTTTTCAGAATTTGGTGTATGAGGAGGATGAAAACACCTTACAGTTGATGATTCATTCTGAAGATACACTTTTGGACGGTGTGCACCCTTTCCAGCTGAGATATGTACTTCTTTGTAGGGGTGTCAAGAGAGCAGTGAGTCATGACATCATGAATCTGACATCACTGTGAGGAGTTCAAGTGATGGAGACAGGAGAAACAGAGTAGAGGTCTCCATCAGAGGGTGTAGGATCCTCCCAGCTCTTCCTTATCAAATGCAGATGTGAGACATCAGGGTCATCGCTGAAAAGGAGTAGCAGCAGAAAATAGAGAAAATAGCAGCAGAGTTTCTGTCAGCTTTTCCAGCTGTGCTGCACATGATTCTGAAGAGATTGAAAAATCTGTTCAAAGCACGAGTGCCATGGTGTCTACATCTATGTGGTAGATGTAGCTGGCAACCTGGGCCTGACCAATGGCCCATGCACTCAATCTGCCACATTATTAAAGATCTTAAAAACCTCACCTGAGCCATTCAGTAACTTGCTGAAATGCAGCAACAACTCTCCAACTCTTGGTAAGAAGGAATGTGTAGGTAGGCCATGGCAGAGAAGATTGAGCAATAGCAGCATTGTCAAATGGAAGATGCGACTCTCTTCAAAGCAATTCCACTTTGGCTCCTCCTGTTGCTTCTTTTCCTCCTCTGACAAAATGTAGAGTGCATGTCAACTTCCTCTTCCTGAAGTATTAGTCCTTATTGCTGTGCAGTGTTCTGCAAGGAACATACTGAAAAGTGTGCCCAGATCTCTTAAGGCACATAAATTGCGTCTTCAGCAATTCAATTGCTTGTTTAATTACAACTTGTATGACATCTGTTGTAACTTCCCTCGGCATTAGTGTTTGGGCTTCTCACAGGTATCCTTAGGAAGTTGCCCATATCTTCAAAGAGACACTCACTGACTCTGCTTCGAGGTCTGAATATCTGTGGTAGCCTTAGCAGGCACAGGGTGTGTATGTAGCTGTTTCCACGGAATCTGCAGCTCACTTACAGTGTGAAGGAGAGAAATAATGAACCCTAGAGCTGTTTCTGTTTATTTATAAAGTCCAAAAAAAGCTCAGGTTTTGGTATGATACACTTTACAACTATGGCTTTGTAAGATAATTGCACACCACTTGGTCATTTATATTGTACAAACAGATCCGCAACTTTGAACCTGGCCTTATGCAGTATCCAGACCACAACATGTAATAGATTTGGTGGAGAGGGTAGATGGTTACCAGATGAAGTTCAATATAAAGAAGAATAAGCTGATACATTTTTTTAACGTGGAGTGTCAGTATAAAGTGAGTTCTGTTGTGAAGTGTTTGCAGGAGCAGAGAGATCTTGGTGTATATGTGCATAAGTCCATAAAGCTTGCAAGCCAGTTAGAGAGCAATTATTAAAGCATTTATGTATTCTAAGCTTCACTAATAGTGGCCTTGAGTGCAATGGCGGGGAGAGTATGCTCAATTTATCTCGGACACTAGTTATACTTCATCTTGAAGCATTGTGTAAAGTTATGGGTGCCAGACAAGGTAGGTTGAATGGCCTCCTTCTGCACTGCAACAATTATGTGATTCTGGGCCAATGGTTTCAAACTGTCAATTGGGATGGTCTATATTTATTGGCTCCATTGGCTGGAGACCAGTCAGCACAATTGAGAGGCTTCTCAGCCAAAGAACCTGGAGTCCCATAGAGACACAAGCCTCACTGTTTGTATTATCCCTGACCCACCTCCTAATCACTGCTGACATTTATTATGATCTTATGACAGTTGCCAAGCAGCTGAAAATAGAAACAGTTGTTGAAGACAGCTCCTGCATAATCTGGGGTGCCTTGATTGCCATGTGTGCAATTTATGACTCAGAGAAACAGAATTCAAACTCTCACTCATTTCAATGGGCTTCCTTAGAAGCAAAGTGCATTACGTGTTGGGTCTGGCATTGGCATTTGGTCATCTGTGAGATGCACTTGTGTGCAACTGATTTTGAGATCCTACAAACATAACCTCCAAATTCCTGAAGGAGCCAGACATGAAGAAATTAACATCTCTGACCTTGTGACAGCTACAGGCGATGAAGGATGCCATTGTTTTTGGTCCTAACTTCACACTCCTTTCCCAACTACTAATCGCATTCCTCTCCCTTGTAGCTTTCATTAAATTACACTTCTCACAACTTTGGTGCCATATTTGACCCCAAGCTGAGATCCTGACTACATGTCTACCAAAATACTGAGATAACTGATATCCACTTACATAACATCATCTAATTTCATCCCTACCTCAGTTTATCTGCTGCTGAATTCCTCAGGTATGCTTTTGTTATCTCTAAATTTGTCTATTCCAATGCACGATATGGGTTCCATTTTGTATATCCTGCACAAATTTGAGGTCATTTAAAATGCAGTATTTCATTTTTTTAATAATGTTAAGTTCTATTCATCCATCACCCATTTATGATTGCTGTCTTACATTAACTCTCAGTTAATATGTGCTTCAATTTGAAAATTCTCATTCTTTATTTAATCTCCATCCTACCCCCTTTCCCATCACTTCCAGCCTCCTCCAGCCACACGATTGGTGATGCTACCTTGAGTCACCTCAGCCCTAAGCCTCGGAATTCTCTCCCTAAACCTTTCTACGTCTGCCTCTCCTCCTGACCCAGTTTTTGAATATCTGTACAAGTATCACCTTTGACCCAGTTTTTGAATATCTGTACAAGTATCACTTTATATCATTGGTGTCTAATGTTGCATTATGATGCTTCTTCTAGGAGGCTGCAAATGTCCATGCCCACCTGAAGACCATAAGATATAGAGGCAGAATTAAGCCATTTGGCCCATCGTGTCTGCTCCACCATTTGATCATGGCTAATATCTTTCTCAAAAATGTCCACTGAGGCACTGGTGTTCAGGAAGCATATTCTAAGCCTGTATACCCGAGGTTGGGAGATATCCCTTGCTATGAATCAGAGCTCTGTGATTATCTTGTCAGTTATGTGAAGTGGCAGGTGGTTGAGGAGCAAATCACCGGTCCTCCCCTTATTTCTGGGACCCAACAGCTGCATTGGTGACTTCCATGTTGCTTTGAAAATTGAAATCTGGAAAATCCAGTTCAAACACAGCGTTTGCAGAAATGCTCTTCAAAATATGGAACATTCCCTGAAAAGTAGTGAAAGCACGTGCTGTGAGTAGAAGTCTATCACTTGGGCATAAAAGAGTATGTCAGAACACAGTCCTTAAAGAATTTCTTTCCTTTTAATTACTTAGCTTGGTTAAATCCCAATGCCCTCTTGCCTTCTGTTTTCTGACAGGTTTCTCAAAATCTGGGGAACTGAAGTGCAATGCAGTTAAAGTCAGAATCCTTGGTGAAACAAATGCAGCTAATGATTATTTTACTGATGTGGCAGACCTGTCTGTTCCACACAGGTTTCCAGTTTACAGCTAAAGAACTCATTTATGTTAAAAGTTGAACTCCTGCAGCTTTTAAAATGTCTGTATGTGTAAAGAAATGTGGCTCATGGCATAGATTTTTTAAAAATTGGTAAATAGTAATGGTTTAAAAGCTTGATGTTTTGATATAGTGTGCTGGTAACAAGATTTCTTTAAGGCACGTGTGGTCCTAGATCTCCTTAACTTTGTATTCTGGTAATGTGTATTTTCATGAAGACTGTGCAATTAGATTTTGTAACCTTTAGAAAGTGCTGATTTTTTAAATGTCCTCATTTTAAAATTTATAGGTGGAGAGACGTAGCCCTCAACAACATTACAGACATAGACACACTGCAGATGGAGCCAAAATGAGAGCCTCTGTTCGAATGACCAGATACCTGGAGTCCTGGGGAGCAGCCAAACCCTTTGCACATTTACACCATCGAGACAGTATGACAACTGAAAATGGAAAAATCAACACAGTTGTAAGGATGAGCTGGTGTATTTTTTTTGGGAGGCTTTTCTATAATTCTTACTTTTGTTGAAAGCTGATTACTGTACAAAAACAAAACAATTTTAGAGAAGTATCCATAAATAGAAAATCATAAGATTCGTTTGTATATGTACTGTATTGATTGGCACTACTATTGTGTTTATTTGTATGTATTCTTAAATTGCTGCATGGAGCAGCATGGTAGCTGAGTGGTTAGCACTGCTGCCTCACTGCTCGAGGGACCCTGGGTTCGAATCTATCCTTGGGTGACTGTCTGTGTGGAGTTTGCGCGTTCTCCCTGTGTCTGGGTGAGTTTCCTCCAGGTGCTCCAGTTTCCACCTGTAGTCCAAAGGTGTGCACTTTAAGTGGACTGGTCATGGGAAATGTAGGGTTACAGGGATAGAGCAGGGTCTTCGGAGGGTCAGTGCAAACTCAGTGGGCCAAATGGTGATTCTATGTTCTCATATGAGTTTGTAGTACCCCTTACACAGTTTGTGAAGATGCATGCAAATATACAGTTGAAAGCCCATGTAACCAAGGATCCTAACATAAGAGAGTCCTGTATATACAGATCTCCAAGGTTATATAGAATTGCCTGAAAGGAACTTAGGCTGGAGATTTTTGCAGAGGTGGTGGCCAACTGCCCCACTGGCAGAAATATCAGGGCGAGCTCATTTCCGCTGGCTGAGGAGACCATGACTGGATTTTACAGACATTGAGGTTGTGGCTTACCCACAGCCCCTCTCCACCCCACACACACTCCCCATGTGGGAAGAAGTCTCACTACAATGAAATGCTGCCAATCAGAAAGTTGTGGATGACTGGCAGCTCTCCAGTACTGGCATTGTCACAAGGTTTGGTGGCCACCACTGGGACTACAGTCAGTCCTGACAAGGTGTCATGAAGGAATCTGTAAAACTAGGTAGGTTGGAGCAGTTTTGGAGAGGCCACTCTGCCAGGTCCTGGCAAGGTGTTTTACCGTGAATAGAAGACTTAGAAGTTGGAGTAGGAGGTAAGCTTCAACAATGATTTGAATCAGATGTACCTCCGTTGAGTCCATAATCAAACATCCTTCTGCCACCCCAGCCTGTAGCCACATGGCACGAACACCCTGATAAATTATCAGTAGTAGTGGGAAGAGGCCATTAATTAGCCACTTGAAGGCCTCAACTGGCACAAGGATGGATGCACTGCCTGACACATACCTCCAGTAGAGGCCAGCAGGCAACAGGCATAGTGCCCCCTGTCTTTCCATGCAATTTTACATCACCTCTGACAGCCAACCTACTTACATGGGGACATTAATTTCCAGCCTTCAGGTCAATGTTGAGAATGTGACATCCAGGCAGCAATTGTGTCATGAGAATTAAACATTGTTGGAAGAGAAAGGAAGAAATTTCCATTCATATCTAACTTGTTCCTAGCCTGTGGTGCATGATGCTGACAATGAAAAATGTGAGATAAAATTTTATTCTTCAGCATTAAGTATCTCTCAGACACTTAATGCTGGACAGTCCTGGTATCGAGTCAAGAGTTTTCTAGATTAATCTATAATGTTTATATGTCATTTAAATTTAAAGGGACAGCCATGCCTTTTTGAAAGTATGTCAGGTTTCTAGATCTACAACCCTGTTTAAGCCACATCAGTTTTCTATCAGGGCTGGTGAATACCATGATTGAATTGTTTCTCTACAATCCATAATTTGGAGTTGCAGTTGCAACAATATGCAAAATTAAATGGAAAAGACTGAAATCTATGTGTAGCTAGTGTAATGTGGCTGCTCTGAAATGTCATTCTATCCTCTTAAATCAACTGATAGTAATGGGATAATTGTGATTAGAAGTGAATGAAAAGTTTAATGAAGCATCTGAAAAACTGTAAAATGCAAGGAGATACAATCTTTGTCAGAAATTTGTTTACACTAGGGATGGAACATTTTACTCACCAGCTGGGAAAGGGTTAGGTAGAATGGCAGGGGGAGAGGTTTGGGTGAGGGACATAAAATTAAGGGGCATGACATCTGTGGGAGAGTTTTGGTAGCCCTCCTTTGAACGAATTGAGGCTCTGAAGTGAACAGTTACAGTCTACTGAAGGGTCTCCTCCTAGCATTGCTGGTATTTTATGAGCAGTGAGGAGGTGCCCAGACATGTGGTGAAACTACCAGGTAAAACCAAGGGAAAACCTTGCAGCCTTGTTGAGGGTGATATCTTCCCTTTTCAGGGCCCGTTGTCCAATGCAGGTGCCCCTCCCTCACCTACCCACTCTGGTGGACCCTTTCCCAATTGAAAGCAGAGCTTGGCATCTTTCTGACTTTTAAGCTGGGCATCCAGGCCACCACCTCCAAGTAATATTTCACCCCAGGTTTTCCCCGGAACAGAAATCAAAACTGTTTGTAGACCCAAACAGAAATAAGCATGAGTTTCACAGGGATGATTACTTTATTGGTATGAAGATAGGTTTGACAACCAATTAGTGACCACAGAAATGGGAGCAGCAGTGAAAGAACTGAAGTGTTAGCCCACTTTAACTCAACATAGCAACCATTACTGTGGAGACAGTATCACTGCAGCCATGCTTTATTCCAGACCCCAACAAATCACAGAGTCAGTCCTGTTTTTAACGAAGGAATTTCCCTGTCACCTGAAATTACTGTATAGTTCTGTTTTCAAACCTCTGCTTGCCTGGTCAGTTGTTTGCCCATAGACATTGGCAAGTCATCCCTTGAATGCTAAAAATCCAATCATTTCCCTTTTAAGACCTCCACCATATTTCAGCCTCTGATTAATTCTTCCTTCAAGTTGGATGTTCATAATTTTTGACAGCCAGTATAGATCATTAATGAACAAATTTACACACTCTCCTGCTTACTGGAAGTGCTAATTATACTTCAACAACGGTGTTTTTTGAAAGCTTGAAGTAGACATTGAATGTTTTAAGTACTTCGACAGATTCAGCTATTTCCTTGTGAATCCCTTGTCTGACAAGAATGCCATCTGCACAATCTCCCATGGCCTAGAAAAGAGTACTGACCTGCTCCTTACGACGCTTTGCAGCTTGTGATGTGATGCCTTGTAAATGCCAATTCAACCACTGTTCAGTGATAGTAGGAACTGCAGATGCTGGAGAATCTGAGATAACGAGGTGTAGAGCTGGATGAACACAGCAGGCCAAGCAGCATCATAGGAGCAGGAAGGGTCTTTCTGATGAAAGGTCTAGACCCTAAACGTCAGCCTTCCTGCTCCTATGCTGCTGCTTGGCCTGCTGTGTTCATCCAGCTCTACACCTTGTTATCTCAACCACTGTTCATTTTGATTTGGACTTGCTCGCATCACTCGGGTAATGGCAATTACTTCTCCATACTGTCTGTGTTCTGTTGCTGCTCTCTGCATGCTGTCTGATTGCTGGCTGTTCTTCAATGCTGGAATCTGTTCACCTGTTGCCACCATCTGCTAATCTATTTGCATCCAGAGACATAAAGATTGCAGGAATCTTGATTGTTGACAAACATCTCCCTTCATTTAAATGTGGTGAAAAACTAACAAAGTTTGTGTTTTCCTTGGAATACAGATGGCTGTGTAGGGTTATAAAACATCAAAGGAAGCCTGGGTCATTGGATCCTCAACCTGAAAGCATTCCTCAGTCAATTAGACAATTTGCCCCAGGTCCATGTGACAGCCAAAGCCTCCATTTCAATCATTGCAGACCTTTGCTCTGCCATTCATGTATGCAGTTTTAATACAGTATCAAAGCTTTTGCTTGTGGAATATCTGACCAAAATTCCTTGTTGTATTCTTTATGCATTCCATGGATTCAATAGGCTTACGAAGTCTATAGTGGTCAATATTATCTTCTTCTTATTCTACTCCACAAGCCCTCTGTGTCATCAGGGACTGTGTTGTGTTGTAATTTGAAAATAAACAAGACTGTTGGAAGTATCCAATATCACCATCATAAGAATCATCTGCACCCCCTGTCAGACCATTGGCATTGCCTTCTTGCAATGCAAGTATTTTAGAATGCACATCCCACTTTTTCCCTGACTGGTGGGCTTTTTTAGTGGGTAGAGTGGACATCTTTGGTTCAATCCAACTAATAGGCAGAGTTTGCCCAAAATTACATCCTGTTTTTGTGCTGTATGTGTGGCCTGCCTGGTGTGTTGGACTGACTTCTCCAACATTAAGTTTTCTTTAATACAGAATACTGGAGAAATTCAGCAGGTTTGACAGCATCTGTAGAGAGAGAAACAGTTAATATTTTTCAAGTCTGGTATGACTTTTCTTCTAAGTTTATTTAGACTGCAAAAAGTCAGATTTTATTGTTGATGACAACAACTACTATTCAAAATTAAATAAGCTCACTCTTCAGCATGTTGTAACTGCATGAACTAACCAATCTTTATAAATCATTATTAACGGAGTCTGCTGATTCTCCAGGCTTCTGGACCACAGGTTGAACTGGACACATTGAAAAGCAAGGTTTTTCCTGGGGATAAAATAGACATTGCATGCTGGTGGGATTGACTGAAAGTCTCTGAGATCTTGCAAACACCTTGTCTGAGAGGGACATTTTCTGCAATGAGGGCTTATTGCATACAGGAAAGTTCTGACCTGGAGCTGCTGTTGCTTCAAATGGAGGCGTGAAGCAATCAATCCACCTGCATTGGTCCTTTGGTGATACTTAAGGGCTGTGGCAGGAGCAGTGACTGCACAGCTAGTGTTGTCATGGCTACCAACTGACTTGCCTGCTACATCAGCATATTCAACTTAAAGTATTTGGGCAGTCTTCTCAAACTGTTTTTACGAGATTCTTCAGAGGGAAATGCCACATACTCTAGATGGATGTCTCTACCAGTACCACCATGTTTTTGGTATGGGTTTGTCTGTTCAGATAAACTCTGACCTGTCCTGGAGATGTTTCCTTGAATAGTATTTATTTACACTATATTCATGATGATCTTTCAGGAGACATATTTGCCCTGAATTACTGTAGCT